TTCAAAACTCCAGAGTGTGGGTTAAGGGGGAGGCCACCCTTAACGTACAGTATAAGGATTTTGAAGGTCCACTAGATCTAATAGTAGTAGGGGGTGAACGAACGAGTCTCATAGGACTCGATTGGTTTGAGATCTTGGGAATACACGTCACAGGGCTCAATAGTCTGCAAACACTTGACCTACAAGAAGTCTGCAAAGAATTTGCAGATGTCTTCAGCCCCCAGCTGGGCACATACAAAGGACCCCCTGTGTCATTAAAACTAGACCCCACTGTCACTCCCATTAGAATTAAAGCAAGAAGGGTCCCTTTTGCTTTAAAAAGTAAAATTGACACTGAGTTGGACAAACTGATTCAGCAAGGAGTTCTAGAACCTGTTGACTCCAGTCCCTGGGAAACCCCCATTGTCACGCCTCTCAAGGCAAATGGGGACATTCGCATCTGTGCTGATTACAAATGCACTCTGAGTAAGGCATTGCAGCAACATGCCTATCCTGTTCCTGTGGTCAGTCATATTCTGGCCTCCCTCAAGGGGGGGCGCGTTTTTGCAAAGCTTGACCTAGCTCAGGCATATCAACAGCTGCCTGTTGATGATGATGCTGCTGAAGCGCAGACCATTGTGACCCACAGAGGGGCCTTCAAGGTGAAGAGGCTACAATTTGGAGTAAATGTCGCTCCTGGAATTTTCCAAAGCGTAATGGAAAACACACTGCGGGGTATACCAGGGGTTTGCCACTATTTTGATGATGTCTTAATTGCAGGAGATTCTACACACAGTTTAGCTGAGAGATTAAGGGCTGACCTGTTAAGGTTCAGGAAAACGGGCCTCAAGCTTAAAAAGGACAAATGTAAAATTGGGATGCCTTCTACTGATTTTCTGGGATTCAAAATTGATGCTTCTGGGATTCACCCCGCTGAATCCAAACTGAAAGCTATTATGCATGCTCCTAGGCCAAAGTCTAAGGCCGAACTACAGGCTTTCTTGGGCCTTCTGAATTTCTACAATTCCTTTCTTCCACATAAGGCTAGTGTAGCTGAGCCTCTTCACAGGCTATTAGACAAACAGGCAGTGTAGCAGTGGTCACAAAAACATGAGGCAAGTTTCAATGAGGTCAAGGCTTTACTCACTTCTAACAGTGTACTCGCACATTTCAATGAATCCCTTCCTGTGTGCATCGCTTGTGATGCTTCTCCTTATGGGGTAGGAGCTGTACTAAGCCACCTCAGGTCAGATGGAACTCAGGTTCCTGTTGCATACTACTCCAGAACCTTGTCTTCTGCTGAGTGTAATTATGCTCAAATAGACAGAGAGGCCTTAGCTGTGGTTGCTGGAATTAAAAAATTCCATGATTTTTTATATGGCAGGCATTTCACGGTCTTCACCATAAGCCTTTGTTGGGGCTGTTTACCACATGTAAGCAAACTCCCCAAATCATCTCCCCCAGAATGCTAAGATGGTCTATCTTTCTTTCTGCCTATGATTTCTCCCTACTTCATAAACCTGGGAAGGAAATGGGCCATGCTGATGGCCTCAGTAGGTTACCCTTGCCGGTAATAGAAGCTGACCCTGCACCAGCTATCAATCTTCTCTCCATTCAGGCCTTGCCCGAGTCCCCTTTGAATGCCAGAGATGTAGCCGCTGAATCAGGCACAGATCACACACTTTCACGTGTCCTTTCTTGGGTTTTATCTGGATGGCCAGAGAGCTGTCCTGGCACTGAGTTTCAGAGTTTCTGGTCTAAAAGGAATGAGTTGTCCACCTTCCAGGGTTGTCTGCTTTGGGGAAGCAGAGTTGTCATCCCTACCTCAATGAGGACTAGGGTCTTAGGTTCCCTCCACGAGGGTCATCCTGGCATTGTACGCATGAAGGCGCTCGCGCGCAGCCACTTGTGGTGGCCTGGGTTAGATAGTGACATTGAAGCTAACGTGCACGCATGCCACCTTTGCCAACGCTCGTGCCCCGAAATACCCCAAGCTCCTGTACATAGATGGGAGGAAACACAGTCTCCATGGTCGAGGGTGCACGTTGACTACGCTGGGCCCTTTCAGGGTCAATTCTTCTTGGTCCTAGTTGACAGCCATTCAAAATGGCTTGAGGTTGTACCTGTATCTTCCACCACCGCTGCAAAGACTATTCAAGTACTGAGGGGGATTTTTGCTGCACACGGGCTTCCAGATGTCCTCGTGTCTGACAATGGCCCCCAATTCACTTCTTCCGAATTCCAAGCTTTCTTACAGGCTAACATGATTCGTCATGCCACCTCTGCACCTTTCCACCCGTCCACCAATGGTATGGCTGAACGCATGGTTTGCATCACCAAGGACGCCTTGAAGAAAATTACCTACGGAGACTGGCATCACAGGTTTGCTGATTTCCTCCTTTCTTATCGCACTACACCATCCACTTCTACGGGGAGGAGCCCAGCTGAACTTCGTTGGGGGCGCAAACTGACTACCAAGTTTGACCGGTTGCATCCGGATAGACTGCCTTCTTCTTACTCACGCCCCAGGGCACCGAGAGAACTCCTTGTAGGTGCCCCAGTTTGGACTCGTAATTACGGGCCTGGTCATTCATGGGTCCCCGCTTCTATATCCAGGGTCACAGGTCCTCTGTCTTACGAGGTGTCCCTGGACAACGGTCGTGTCCTGCGTCGACACATCGACCAACTTCGCCCTAGATGGGACCTTCCCGCTGAGACTCCTGGGTCTTTTCCAGGGGGGGAGGGGGACCCCTTTGGGCAAGGGGAAGGGCATGGGCTGCTGCCCATTATCAATGAGGAAGCCACAAATGGCTCATCTCAAGATTCCGCGAGTGCTCCAAACAGGAATTCAAGGAGCCCAACTAGATACCAGGCATCAATGCCTACTCCAGCCAGGGAGTCATCCCGGGGGCATAATCACTACTCACCCGCATCACACAGTACTCCAGTCAGGGAGGATACCCGGGAGCATCCCAATAAACCATTTCCCGCAAGAGAGCTGGCACACACTCCTTCTAGTTGGCCCGACACTACCCCTGTCCCTAGAAGGGGGCAAACATACAGGGAGGTGGTCGAGGAACCAAATCCCGACTACAACACCCTGACTTCACTCAGGGGACAACTGAGTTTTGGGACAGTACTGAAAACCCCACAAGCCTGGGGACAGAACGGGAACCAGGGGACAGACAACCTCCTGACAGGTCTTGCACAGACCTTGGAGGTTCTACAGAATCGCCCAACAGTGACAGTCACTTAGAGGGGCCAGAGAGCCTGCAGCAAGGCAGGACAATCAGGTTAAACAAAGAAAGAAGCCCTGGCCTGATGAGCCCGGTGAGCAAGCAAGCAGGCCAGGCATTGGAGCACAGTCCTTGGGAACCACCGAGGCAAAACAAGGGGGACAGGCACGTATCACCCCTCAGTCAAGAGGTACTTGGCAGGTACCCAGAAGTTAGGAGGTCACAGAGAGCCAGGAAATCTCCTAAGTATTTAGAAGATTTTGCAACTCTATTGGCAAAACAGAGTTAACAGAGGGAAAGAACACTTAGACTAATGGAAGCAAAAGTAATACCTGGCATTGGGTAGTATGGCACTACACTCGAAATGGGTTATGTGTTACTATGGCATGGTTAATAGTTTAAACCCGGGGGGAAGGGGTGTTATGTCCTGAGCCTGTGCAAGCAGGCTCGGGGCATTGCAAACGGTCCCGGGCAGGTGCAAGTTGCCCGGGACCAGACAGGCTATCGCCAGTACTTGTGCGCATGCGCAAGTGCTGGCGTGCCAAAAGTTGCAGATTGACCCGGGAATGGCCTATATAAGAGGCCAGGAGTTTTGGGCATTGCCGGTGTATTCCAACTGTAAGCTGAACTAAGAATAAAGAAGTCTTGAGAACTACAACTGCTTCTCGTGTCTTGCCATTTCGCGAAGGATGCAACACCTACCGCTACCTGTCTCCCTACCTCCCCATCTATGCGGTTTTGGCCACCTTATAGATATACAACAGCACACAGCAACAGCAGTGCCAGGCCTGGGGTTGAAGTGGAAGGCCTTCAATTTACCTGAAAAATGCTGCTTCAAACCCAACACTATGGTTAGTCTCCTGTGCACAAAGCCACAGTTAACCCCACTGCTCTGCTCTCCTCAGGCCTGCTTCATTCAGCCTGCTTCACCCTTTTTCTCCTGTGCTGATAAGAAGGGCCTGGCCTATCCCTGCTGTATGTGAGGCAGTGGCCATGGCTGCTCCAGGCCTTCTTCTACATGTGAGACAGATGCTGGCTGCATTAGGCCCTCTTCCCAAGGATGCTTGCACCATTCTCCAAATCAAGAGATGGAAGTACCCATATTTGGCCATGGAATCCAACAACTCAAATCTTGCTGTAGAATAGGGTTTATTAAGAAATTGTATTTTTTGGTTTGGAAAGTGTTTTTGTTCTTAGCTAACCAATTTAAAGTTCTATTTTTTGTCAATAATTCTGTGTCAGTTTGGGCATAGATACCTAAGATCCTCTATTTAAAAATTTCCTTTGCCTGGGAGGCAGTCGAGAGTAAATATTGGGTATAACCTATGCTATAAAATAACTTTGATAAATTGCTTATCCAAGAGGTGTGCTGAGCCACACTTAATCAGTTCAACTGAACACATTTTGGGTAGCCTACCAAAGACAAAGATAGAAAGCATGCTTGCTGATTTTTGAAGGGGGGAAAAAAAGCTTTCACATTTTTCATGCTTGCTTTTCCACGTTCAATTTTCATGTAACTAACTTTTTAATCAGGATTTGCAAACTTTCCACCATTAGTCACTCCTGTGTTAGGAACTTTAGCCAACTGGAAAAGATAAGCTGTGTCTCAGTTTTCATACATGAATCTTCAGAACAGTTCTGTATAACCCAATCTTTGAGCCACAAAATGTAGCTCGGGGGTCTCCTTCTTTTGCCTTTGACTCTGCACCTAAATGTGACTGTGTAACGTATATGTGTGACGTATATGTATACATATATGTATATGTAGGAAAATAATGTCTTTACCTTTCTACAGCCATGGTCCTCCTCTTTCCCCTGACTTACTCGACCCCGTTTCTTACAGACAGAAGGCAATGTCTGATTGCAAGGACTGTCATTCCATCTCCCTTCCTGGATGGAAGCATAGAAATTTCAATTTTGTAAACCATTTTCACATTTGGGCCCAGTTTCTAAATATTCTAAACATTAATATTGTATCTTGCCAGTTTCCTATGTCAACTATATATTTACCAATTTAAACAATTTTGCAAAGCTGTTATGCAAATTTCTAATCTAATAGCGTACTAACTTAATCTTCATGATAGCTTTTGCCTTTTTATACGAGACTATTAATTTTTATTTTTTTGTACAAAAAGGCCTTTTGCAATGCTGACCTGTTTAGCACATGCCTGGGCATATTTCTGCAATCTTAGTTTCAGAAATCAGTTTTTAAAACAAGTAAACCAACTTCCCTTCTACATACAACCTCCCAAATATCATAAACCAAAATGCTTCCAATCTAAAGGAACACTGTAGGCAATATGTATAGAGCAATTTAAAATGTTTTAAAAGAGTTATTTAATCCTATTATACAGCTATTGACAAAATCTCAAATGGCTTCAAAAAGTAAATATTTCAAGTTTATCAATATATCTGGATGATCCAACTATAAAAAACAAATTGGAATGGATTCCTACAAAGTTTTTCCTGCTTCAGTTGTCTGTGAAGAAAATAAATAGGTCTTAGATTACATAATTGTTTTGGCCAAAGTTGGATAAGTCATTTCCAAATTTCTTTGCAATCAAATCTGTTTTAAGAAAAAAAAATGAGTTTAAAGTGCAGATCCCTTAAGATTCCAAAATCACAAGTCATTAATGAGGAGTACATAGTATTATTTTGACTTTTTGATACATGTGGTACAGAGTCCTCTTTATGTTAAAATTATATATTTCTCTCACGATATAAATATTTCCAAAATTTTACTCATACCGGCCCCCAGATAGTCACACAATCCTCCAGGCTATCTCGGAAATTATTGGGCTCAAAAGGATGCCAGAATGTAAACTGCACTGGTGTGCCATCTGACCACTCAAAATTCATCTGTAGCCGGAGATCATTCAGACCAATCCAAAGTTCTTCAACATCTGGCACAACAGGGAAGAAGAGAAGAGCGTGTATACAGTCCTCTCCTGTGTATATGTTAGTAATACACTTCTTTGTATTCGCGACATCACTCAATGCACAAGACGTATGCCTACTTCTGTCTTTCTAATTTACTTGCCCTCTATAATATATAAAAATTTAACAGAATGCTGCTAAATTCATGAAAACTTCCATGAAAACAAGGGGTTTAAAATTTGGATGTAGCACTCAGAAAAGTTGTGACTTCCTCTGCTGTGATTTATCTTCACTTTATTCCCAAACCTACTCTAGCTCAATTTCATCATTGCCTTCATCCTCTCTACTCCATGTTCTCTTCAGGAAGATTTTCCATAAACATTCAACATACTGATTCATCTAAAAATTCAGTCAGTACCATAAAAAAAATCAACTTGCGATTTTTAGAAAAACTTATTTAATCCTTGAAGGGGAATAGCATAATTGGCCCAAGGATCAGCAATCAGTTAAATCAAGTGTGGAAGTAATCATTTTGATTGTCAAAATGACAATTCAAGGCTGCATCCCAGCCAATCAACATTTTTGATTGAACCAAGACTTGTTGGGAACAAGAAGATCTATTTCCTTTCAGTTTAATCCATATTCTGTCAGTCAAATTTGGTTCTTCTTAAAATGCTAAGCAAGGTCAAATTTGGTTATTATTTGGACATGTAACCATGAGAAAAAATATTAGGGGTAGGGTAGCCTAGAAATCTTAAAAACATGGAAGGCAATAGCAAACAATTTCCATACCATTACAAAGATAATTATATCTATGAAGTCACTGAAATCCAACTTGCAGATATCACCATTTTAAAGCCATTGGCCACAGAGCAAGCTAATTGGATAAGCATCTATATCTCACATCTTACTTTCTGTAAACACTACCATAAAAATTCTCTACTCATTTTGTAATATGATTGCACACGTGCGCACACACACACACACACACACACACACACACACAAATATATAGAGAGACAGAGAAAGTGTTTGTGGAAAGTACATGGGCATCACTCTTTTTACTAAAGACATGCATACTCTATGTGATCACCAATCTTCTAGTCCTCCTAGTTTTTCTCTTTGACCAGAGCCACCATGGCAATCATTTTATACATGAGATTACCCATTGCATAGCTGCTGCTTGAGTGTTCTTGGGATACTAATTCAAAATTCTGAATATACCTCAATCTATAAGGGTCCAGAGTGCATGATTAAATCAATTATCCTTTACCTTGCTTGATTTGCTTGGTGACAAACTCCAGTTCAGAGAGGGTATGGATGCTCACCAGATCCCCTTCACTGCGCAAGCAGGTCTTTTTGGCATCTATCCAACTTTTCTTTTCACTTATCAAACGATAGCAGTTAGATTGGAATGGCTGCCAGCTGGGATCACAATCAATCTTCACTTCAGATTCTACTGGGATTATAATACATAAATTTAGAGAATCAGAGAGCCGTGGGATATAATTGTGAGACTACAACCAAAATCTATAACCAGAAAACAGATACTGTAAACCTAGCACAGAACTTTACTTTCTGCCATATAAATCAGACTACTACTAATTTCTTAATCACAGATATTAATAAATGGATTCAAACTAAAATCCATAGTTTTCCATAATTATGTTCAAACAGAATGCAAACATTTATTTCCTTCTTATTCCTTACATTGGTGCTCTAAGTGCCTGGCTTTCAGGCTCTGAAACTTTTGCCTTTGTACTTCCTTCTAACTCATTCAATATATCCCCCTCCTCAAACCCTCAAAATTATAACAAAATATTAAAATCAGCTAACAAATAAACGCCTGGTGAAAAAATACTTCTTACAGATTTTCTAAACATTGAGAGTAGGGCAATGCAATCCAGAACCTGGGAACAACACAAGGTCCTTTTTATGTATCAGAAAGTGAGCTTTCCTACTGATTAAAAGAAATGGATACATTTATCATCGAAAAGATATAACCTATCCATACAGCCCCTTGCCCCAACTCCAGAATAACCTACTATTAGATTACGTCCTTACAACCATCTTGGTGCTAGCTTGCTGCTGAGCGAGGCTTAAGCTGTATCAAAGCTATCCAGCAAGAAAGTGGCACTTCTCATAGAAAAACAAAAGATCTCCTACATAAGTAGTGCTCCATGTTGCAGAGATCAGTCACCTTCATAGGATTGGTAGCTGGCTGGGCTCCTAATGGCTCTTTGCAAAATCAACCCTCCGTTTAGGCTGCTAGAAAGAATATAACCATGCACAGCAAAAAAAATTTCCCAGCTCAAGAGAGCATCAACCTCATGAAAAACTTGCCTAAAATCTATAGGTAAACTTGATATAACTCCCATTTATGGTTTACACAGTTTCTTATGAATTCCTATAAAACAACAGATGGAAGATGGTAGTGACTGGCAATTACTGGAACTACAGAGTGAATACACCTATAAGAAGCTGCAGCTGCAAATACAATGCCTGTCCAGTCCTCTGTCTCAGAAACAAAGCTTTTAATTTCAGGAAACCATAGCAATTGGCTTAGAATCGTAATTCTGGAAAGAAATGTAACAGGCCATGTAATCCAATCTGTATTCAGGGTCCAATTTAGTATCTTTGACTATCTAGCCTCTCTTTCAAGACCAGTGTGAAAAATCAAGCCTCAGGCCAGGAAAGAATCTGGCAGCAAATAAAAGCTGAGAAGAATCTTGTGAAAAGAGCTGGGAACTCAACACTGTTATTTCTTCACAGGCTGGCAAGAGCTGGTTTTGTATGCAGAACAGGTTTGCAAAAGGCGCTTTGCCTGGTGTAATGCCAGGGTACTCTCTTAGTAAACGGTGATTGTGGATTTGTTGTTCACTTTTTCTCTCCTATAACAGAAGGAGGTATCTGCCACTCTTGTTATGATGACAGGAATACTATTGGCATTTTGCTAAGGCACAGTAAGAGAAATTTGCAGCTGCTACCTGCAAATCCAGTGAGAATCAAGGAGCATTCAACAAACCTACTCATTCAATTGGAATGCAAATCCATCTAAAAAGTGATCCCTCAGATCACTTCTTTATTTACTTATAGCATCTCCCTGTCCTCTGGACTTACTTTCAATCTGTTCCTTTTGGTAAGATCTTTTTTTGAACTTAGATAGCATCCAAGAGTACACATGTTTCCACTGAATTGGACAAGTAAGGAGCAATTAAACTGGGTATCTCAGCATACTGAAAATATCCCACTCCAAAAGGATCTTTCAAGATAGAGAGGAATATCTTTTTCTGGCAAAGAGACACTGACCACCTCTCTTAAATATGGAGCTGGTCCTATCCTAGCCAATTTATTCAGGTAGGAAGGTCAAGGCTGGGAATATAACTTATGGAGGCATTTAATTTGTCACACAAAAAGCCTATGGTAACCCAATACATTTCCTCATTTAGCATACAATTTCTCCAGTACCAAGGCCCTGTGTGAGATTTTCTGCAAAAATCCATAGAAATTTCATATTCTGCAGTATAATTATTGTTTGTTTATGTTTAAACCAAAATATTCAAATTGTTTGGGTTCTTTTGCATTTTCCAAATTACGCACCTGTGAAGTGTGTATTAGAAGTAGCATTTGGTTTCTTTTTACAGATATATGGCAAAGCAATGCTGCAATCCCGGTTCTGCCATCCTCCCGAGGACTCTGTCCGTATCACCCCACAATTCTCTTCATTGGGATTATCAGGTTGATCTATAAGCATAATCCAAGAATGTTATTTCAGTATTAAGGATCGACTCTTAGATCGACTCTGAATTTCAAGGATTGAAAAGACATTCTTTTTGGATTTTGTTATCAGAGATGGAAAAAAAATATACATTGTGCTGATGAAGATTAGGCTGCGTATATGGGAAGTTAAAGAAATTTTTGTCCAATGCTGCAAAATAACTGGATAAATCAATCACAGAAAAGTAAAGATCTCTATATTCTCAAAAATATCAACATCATTTTAAAATGTAATACTAAGTTTTAAGACTAGCTACCCTTATTTTCAATAGTTTCCATTCTCTGCAAAGGATGGATTTTAAAAAATGGATTACTATTATCGTGTTACTTTAAACTGTACATTAAAGCCAAGCATTACATCTGTAGAGAAAAGGGACAGGGTATGTTTGACCCAATGTTTGCTAAGAATATCATATCTGGGCTGTAAAATTTCAAGTATGTTCCCTTCATTACCATCTAGGGATTACTCAAATTACTGCATCCCCAGATATGGTGGCCCTCCTTTGACTTAAGGACATAGACTTCTATCATGCAAATTCTGAAAAGAAATGGAAAATGGGTTTGTATTATCTCAAAGAATGTTTTATATTTTGCCTGGCTCTTTATTTTACACACACACACACACACACACACACACACACACACACACATACACACACTATATATATATATTTCTAAAATTTGGATTGCTAGCAAAGAATTAAGGGAGAACTGGAATAGCTATTTCGAACTCTTTAGCTCTTTTCAACCAGACATACCCTTCTGAGATTCGAACCTGGGCTGTCTGCATGTTAGGCAGATGTATTAACCTCTAGGCCACAGGTTCTGTCTCACTTTTGCCAGCTGTGTTAGGGAGGGAAGAAACAGGGGAGGAGTTATCTAGAATGCTGTATGTTACACCCTGTTGCCCGAATATGGGAGAGAGGTTAATACATCTGCCTAACATGCAGACAGCCCAGGTTCGAATCTCAGAAGGGTATGTCTGGTGGAAAAGAGCTAAAGAGTTCGAAATAGCTATTCCAGTTCCCCTTAATTCTTTGCTAGCAATCCAAATTTAGAAATGTATATGATGTCACAGTTGTGACTGCTGCCTGTGGATGGCTCTAGTTTGAGCTGATACAAGGCAAAAGATTTCTCTCTCCCATATTTGGGCAACAGGGTGTAACATACAGCATTATATATATATATATATATATATATATGTATATGTATATGTATATGTATATGTATATGTATATGTATATGTATATGTATATATGTGTATATATATATATATATATATATATATATATATATATATATATATATATATGTCTTTGGTTGTTCGGGTTTTCTCCCACGTAAAATTGGAAGTGTCTTGGCGACGTTTCGATGAAGTCCCATTCGTCATCTTCAGGCTGGTGCTTTCAGCTTCGTGCCTCGAGCAGCAGTGTGTGGTCTTGGCTGTTTCTTCCTTTTAACTGCCAGTGGAGGTATGAACTGATTGGGTGGGAGCTTGGCTGTGTTCTGATTGGGTGGAGGTGTGTTCTGATTGGTTAGGGGCTTGGCTGTGCTCTGATTGGCTGGGGGTTGGCTGTGCTCTGATTGGCTGGGGGGTTGGCTGTGCTCTGATTGGCTGGGGGGTTCTGTTTGGTTGTGCTCAGGTTAGTCTGAGTTGCAGAGGGATTCAAGATTTTGGGCTGCCCTGCCATTCCTTGGCTTCGCGTTCGTGGTCGTGCTTCCTCTTCATGGAGGGTGTCAGTTTGCTTCATGTATGGATTGGGGGGGTTTAAAGTGGCTAATGATGCAGCTGTGGTCTGGCTTCTGGTTTGTGGTCGTGCCTCATAGTCAGTGTGGCTTTGGGTTTGTTTTTTGCGTGGATGTTTGGTGGTGACATCCTGTGTGGTTTTTGTGAGTGTGGGTCTGGTATCATTTTTTGTGTTAGGGAGTCGTTTGTCAATGAGGGCGGGTTTCCAAATGGCTGGTAGGCGGGAGGTATCATCTCGCTTGTTCATGCTGTGTGGGCGTTTTTCTATCTCAATGGCTTCTCTGATTATTCTGTTATTAAAATGTTCACTTTTGGCAATGGTTCTGGTATTTTTAAAGTCAATTTCATGTCCTGTGGCTTTAAGGTGTTGGACCAGGGAAGATGTTGGTTCCTCTTTTTTGACTGAGTTCTTATGTTCTTCAATGCGTGCACTTATTCTTCTGTTGGTTTGTCCGATGTATGTGGTGGGACAAGTGGTGCATGGGATTTCGTATACTCCTTGATTTTCTAATTCAATTTTATCTTTGGGTTTCTAAGGATGGTGGATATTTTTCTGTTTGTGCAGAATGCTGTTTTGATGTTGTGTTTATGGAGGATCTTACTGATTCTGTCTGTGATGCCTTTTATGTATGGGAGGATGGCTTTGCCGTTTTCTTGTTCTTTGTCTTGGATTTTAGTGGGGGTTTCTTTTTGGATTAGGTTTGTAATCTTATTTCTATGGAATCCATTGGATGTTAGTACATTGGTGAGAGTGTGTAGTTCGGGTTTTAGGTGTTGTTCGTCAGCTAAGCGTTTTGTTCTGGAGATGAGTGTCTTGGCTACAGAGTTGATCTGTGCTGGGTGGTGGTGTGAGAGAGCGTGCAGATAGCGGTTTGTGTGTGTTTTCTTCTGGTAGATGGTGTGTCCTAGGGAGCCATTGGATTTCTTGTAGACTAAGACATCCAGGAAGGGAAGTTGGTTGTTAGCTTCTGTTTCCATGGTGAACTGTATTTTGAGGAACAGACAGCACTACATAACCTGAAAGAAGACACCAGCATAATAATCCTACCAGCAGACAAGGGCAACGCCACGGTGGTTATGAACACATCTGACTACCAAACCAAATTAACCAACCTACTCCAAGACTCCACATACAAACCCCTAAATACAGATCCCACCACCTACCTGGAAAAAACCACCAGATCCAAATAAAAGCCTCCCCCATTAGCGAAGAGATCCAGCAAAGAATCATTCCCAGAGAGAAATCATCCAGATGCCCTAAACTCTATGGTCTCCCCAAGATACACAAAGAAGGAACCCCACTCAGACCTATAGTCAGCTCCATAGGCTCAGCTCTACAAAACCTAGCCAAATTTCTCGCCAAACAACTACAGCCCTATGCAGAATCCATCACCTCACACGAAAAAAACTCATTCCAGTTTATAGAGATCATAAAGAAACAAAACTTACAGCCCAGCGACCTACTAGTGAGCTTCGATGTCATATCCCTCTTCACCCAAATGCCTATCAAAGAAGCCTTGACAGCTATTCAAAACAAATATAACCCCCCCAAACACATCTTAGATCTGATCAACCACTGCCTATCCAACACATACTTCATCTATAATGGACAAAAATACAAACAAACAGAAGGAGCACCCATGGGATCACCCCTCTCACCTGTCATTGCCAACCTCTACATGGAACACTTTGAAACCCAAGCTCTAGAAAAATCGGATCACAAACCCAAACTCTGGCTCAGATATGTAGACGACACCTTCATAATCTGGCCACATGGGAAAGAAAAACTGGACAACTTCCTCACACACCTCAACAGCCTACACCCCAAAATACAGTTCACCATGGAAACAGAAGCTAACAACCAACTTCCCTTCCTGGATGTCTTAGTCTACAAGAAATCCAATGGCTCCCTAGGACACACCATCTACCAGAAGAAAACACACACAAACCGCTATCTGCACGCTCTCTCACACCACCACCCAGCACAGATCAACTCTGTAGCCAAGACACTCATCTCCAGAACAAAACGCTTAGCTGACGAACAACACCTAAAACCCGAACTACACACTCTCACCAATGTACTAACATCCAATGGATTCCATAGAAATAAGATTACAAACCTAATCCAAAAAGAAACCCCCACTAAAATCCAAGACAAAGAACAAGAAAACGGCAAAGCCCTCCTCCCATACATAAAAGGCACCACAGACAGAATCAGTAAGATCCTCCATAAACACAACATCAAAACAGCATTCTGCACAAACAGAAAAATATCCACCATCCTTAGAAACCCCAAAGATAAAATTGAATTAGAAAATCAAGGAGTATACGAAATCCCATGCACCACTTGTCCCACCACATACATCGGACAAACCAACAGAAGAATAAGTGCACGCATTGAAGAACATAAGAACTCAGTCAAAAAAGAGGAACCAACATCTTCCCTGGTCCAACACCTTAAAGCCACAGGACATGAAATTGACTTTAAAAATACCAGAACCATTGCCAAAAGTGAACATTTTAATAACAGAATAATCAGAGAAGCCATCGAGATAGAAAAACGCCCACACAGCATGAACAAGCGAGATGATACCTCCCGCCTACCAGCCATTTGGAAACCCGCCCTTATTGACAAACGACTCCCTAACACAAAAAATGATACCAGGCCCACACTCACAAAAACCACACAGGATGTCACCACCACACATCCACGCAAAAAACAAACCCAAAGCCACACCGATGACGAGGCACGACCACAAACCAGAAGCCAGACCACAGCTGCATCATTAGCCACTTTAAACCCCTCCAATCCATACATGAAGCAAACTGACACCCTCCATGAAGAGAGGCACGACCACGAACGTGAAGCCAAAAAATAGCAAGGCAGCCCAAAATCTTAAACCCCCCTGCAACTCAGACTAACCTGAGCACAACCAAACAGAACACTCCCCCAGCCAATCAGAGCACAGCCAACCCCCCAGCCAATCAGAGCACAGCCAAGCCCCTAACCAATCAGAACACACCTCCACCCAATCAGAACACAGCCAAGCTCCCACCCAATCAGTTCATACCCCCACTGGCAGTTAAAAGGAAGAAACAGCTAAGACCACACATTGCTGCTCGAAGCACGAAGCTGAAAACGCCAGCCTGAAGATGACGAATGGGACTTCATCGAAACGTCGCCAAGACACTTCCAATTTTACGCGGGAGAAAACCTGAACAACCAAAGACCTACATACATACATACATACATACATACATACATACATACATATATATATTAGATATCTATACAGTTAGTAAACAAGATCCATTGATACGCTAATCATACAAAATATGTATTATTTTTATTTGTGTATAATATCATTCAGTTTTCAGTCTCTGGGTCCAGCTTACCATTTTCCCAATTGAGGAACTTCAAGGGGGAATTATCAGACCACTGCCAGCCCCCATTGAGGTCCAAATCATTAAGCCCAATCCAGAGTGTGGAACCATATCCTGTCAGCAGTCCTGGTGTAGTCAGAGAAAGATAGAAAGTCACAGAATCAGATCTTCTACCGTAAGTCATAGAATCAGATCTTCTACCGTAAGTCATCCTAAGCCAGTGGTGGCGAACCTATGGCATGCGTGCCAGATGTGGCACTTAGAGCCCTCTCTGCGGGCACCTGCACCATTGCCTCAGCCCCACTTCCCCCTGTGGCCCCCTTTTCATCAGCAGGCCCCCCGAAGGAGAGTTGCCCCTGAGCCCAGCCAGCACAGAGCCAAGGATATGGCAGCCAGGCAGCAGAGACAAGACTATGCCCTTACACCCCATTGCATGCAGTTGATGCTACAGGGCGCAGGTGTAGCTGCCATGGCACTGCTGGGCCACCTGGGCAGTCAGCGGGCTGTGGAAGTGGTGGCTGGCCCTGCGGGTGAGCAGAGCAGGGGGCGGAGCACGGCAAGGGGTGGCACGGGGGTGTAAGGTGGGGGCGGGGTGGTTTTTGGGTACTCAGTCTCTAAAAGGTTCGCCATCACTGTCCTAAGCCATAATGGCACCCACCAACATTCTTTTCTACACATTCTTGTTAAACCATGGTAATAGTCAATTACCCATTACACACCAAGCATAAACTAGTCTTCTCTGAATCTCTTCTCTTCTGAGCCATCCATTTGCACTGAACAGCTTTCTTTTACAATATTCATATTGCATAGTCAAATATTTTATATATAGGTATATAATGATAATTTCTCTGTATTGATATTCATTCTATCAAAATACTGAAGAACACCCAACAAACAACCACTATTGGAAAGCTTATATTAGTCATATAGGTGAAAGAATGGTAAACATATCAGTCTGCAGAGCAAAACATTTTTCCATCCCGCTTACTAAGAGAACCTGTTTCAAATATAGATTTCCAATGCTTACCATTGATGTAGGTCTGTTCATGAATTGCAGTGATACTAAGCAAGCTGGCTCCCTGCTGCTCACAGCTCTTTCCGGCCTCCTGCCAAGACAGGGTGGACTGGAAGTTAAACTGATAGCAGCTATTGGTGAGTTGGTCTCTATCCCAAAATGTATCACAGTCATTGCCTACGAGGGCAGGAGAAAAAGGAAGTTACTTCACGTTAACACAATAAGTCGTCACCTTAGTTAGCAAATGGATTCAAACCAGTTATACATTCATTCTACAGCTTTTTAAGTTGTGTGGCCAGGGTTGCCTAGGGAATAATCATGTGAAAGAAGAAAAGAAGAGAATGCAAGGTGGATTGAGAAGACAAAATGCAATCTAGTTTTCATAAAGATTGCAGCAACTGCATAGAAAGATACATTTCTTGAATGCTGAATTTGATATTAAGCTTTCATTGTTATCATAAGACATATAGGTGTGGAGGAATTTGCACGCGCAGCAAACTGCCATGCTTCCCCCCCCCCACAAACCTCATAACCTTTTGATACCCTTTGTCCCAAGGAAGCAGTCAAAAGATCACCCCCTCTTGATTTAATATCTTACCTACCTAAACAGATAATATGCTTAGTTCCTTCCCTTATCTCTTCCCATCTTTATCTCTTCTTGTCTTTCATCTACCTGTATTTGTCTTTACCTGATCTCTGACCATGTAATATGTTACTAGAAAATAATTGCTTATATGAAGGAATTTTTCAATTACTTTATGTCAACAGCTAAAGGTTAAACTTCTAAATGTAAAATGTCAGCAGTTAATGGCAAAGTCTATGTATGTAAAAAGTATATAAGAAGGAATAAACTCAGAGTTTGTCAAGCTGTGTCCTGCAGCTTCAAACCTCTGCTCAAGACATGCCTGTGTCTTTTTCTTAGCATCCTACATCTGGCGCCCAACGTGGGGCAGCCCTCCCATGGAGCAACTGGGACAGCCCCCCCTTCCGAGGGAGCAACAGCCAACTTACTTACCAGCGTCTGGAATAGACCCCTAAGTGCACTTTCGTCCTACGGGACCCCTCAGTGGTAAGTAAGGGTTGCAATCTATCTCAGCACCAGCAAAGGAACTCAGATTCCTGTTACACACATCAGGCATGAAAACGCCTGATGCAGACAAAAGGAAGCTGATGGGTGAGGTAGGGAAACATTCCTCTTGATATCCTAAGCGCTGGACGCTTAGGTTACAAGATTGGGAAAAAAATAGGGCATACTTTACATCTTGAATCTTGGGCTCCAGTACAGGTATTACATCAATGCAATCAAGCAGTGGAAAAATTTGGCTCAGATGCTTCAGCAGGGTAACAATTAACTACAAGCCCCACACCTGATTAGGATCAAAGTAAAAACTGTGCCTCCGAAAGCATCTTTAATTGGATTTTCAGCTCCTTCTGAAGAGGCTAATTCTTTTGCCTCCTTACAGCCACCATACACCCCCATAAGGAAAATATTAGAGGAACAATCTTGAAATAGAAAAAATATATATGGGGAATGGTCAGAGGAATTTAAAGAAACAAATTAAATTAAAATGTACTCCTCTGCAATGTGTTTTGAACAATTGGGATGTTTTGAAACTTCAAGTAGCTGTTAAGTTTAACCCTGTCAGACAATGTCTGATGGTGCTTTGTGTTGATGTGTAGAAGTATAAATAATCTTTAACAAGACAACACTGAAAAATTTTGTAAACCTCCGGCTGGCTAGTTTATCTGATAACAACTAAAGCCACGGAAGAAAAAGAAAAGAAAATTCAAAGAACTGAAAGCAAGTTTTTTTTTCTTTTTTCCCCTTTTAATCTGGCTCTATTCAATTCCCTTTTGTCAAGAGGTAAGGAGAGGAGGCTGCTACATTTCCCTCACCCTTCACACCTTCAATATTCCTTTTAGTCTTTCCCCAATGTCTTTTGAAATTGCTGGGATAAGTTGGAAGTAACCATAAATGTTCTCCTCCTTTTTAATTAAAAGGGGAGGCCTGTTTTAGCCTCAAACCCCAAATTGATGTGTCTTTTGTTTATGTATATGTGTGTATATGTGTATATGTGCGTGTGGCCACCCAGAACATTATGCTTGGGCTTGGAATGGTGAGAAAAATAGGAGATGATTAAAAGGGCCCTATTTAAAAAACAAAAACAAAACATATTTGGTTGGAATCATCTCATGATTTTTCTCGCTTTTTGCAGGACAAGCCATATGTCTAAATCAATGTTGTTTTATTGGTATTTGTATATATATATGTTTGTCTGTGTTGTTCTGTGTTATTTCCAAGACTTGGAAGAGGGTCAAACCCTCTCTGATAACAACAATACAAAAAGACCTTATTTAAAAATAAATAGTTTGCCTGGAGAAAGTATAAAATGAAATGTTTGTATGTGGAATTATTTATACAAGCAGTTAGAATGAAAATGAATGAATTAATTTGTTGATACCTGAGTCTGTGTGTTAGCCCTCAAACCCCACCCCAACCCTCTCTCTCCCAGGTTGTAAAAGAAATAAAAAACTGCAGATTTTATTGTTGTAATTGAAAAGTAATAGTAAGTGTTTGCATGGAAAATGCATGTCAAGGAGAGAAAACTAATTTTTAGTGGTGAAAAGTTTGTAACAAAAAACTTTTCCTGTCTCTTTTGTTTTTCAACTGGCTGTGTTGCTTTAAGAGCAAGAGAGACAGAAAGAGGGGGGGGGAGAAAACTGTTCGTTTTAAACTTTTTTTTTCCTTCTCTGCTAAGAATTCCAGTTTGCGAATGGAGATGAAATTTAATCCCCGCTCTTGCAATTTCAGCTAGCAAAACTTAAGTTTTGTAAATATTTAACCTACTTAATAGAAATTTGTTTGCATCTTTGATTAACTTGGAATTTAACTTATTGACCAAAGGAAAACAACCTGGAGATCTCATTTGTAGTTCCACTTGCAGCATTTACCACAGTTGAGCAAATTAAGTACTTGAGTACTCAATTTGTGGACAGAATTCCACATAGGAATTGTCACTTAACACTTTTGATATTTCTTACTAGTAAGATACTTACAGGAATATTAGCTGTGTTAGAAGCGCAAAAAATATATTGTATTGAATGGCTTTACTTATCCCATCCCAAAATGTTTCATCTTTTATCCAGGCTGTTGCTGAAATAACCTTAGGACACAATCAAGCTTGTCCTTGAAATGGGACTGATTTAATTAATATTGTTATTCCTATCCCAAAATTTGATTTTCAATTTTATTTTCAGAATAACTTATCTCTTCAATGCTGACTATATAGGCTGTATTTTATATCATCTGCCTACACTGCAGTGCAATCCTCATCACAACGCTCAGAATTATCTGCTGCTATTTTAGCTTTCCACACCTTTTCTCAACAGACTTTTAACCTAATCTCTGATTCTCATTATGTGTGCCAACTTATTTTTAATCTTACAGGTGCTTACATCATGCCCAGGATCGACCCCAATCTTATGGCTTTGTTTTTAACTTTACAGCAGCTATCTTTTGTTTCTCACATATGTATCGGTCCTTTAAGGACTGCCTTCATAAACAAATAAAAAAGGAGGGATCAAGGGTACCTAATTTGGCATGGATAAATAATCGAGTCAATAAAGTCCTAATAACTTTAAATCAGCTAAATATTTCTTTTCAAAAAACTACTGCCTACCAGCGTCATTTTCAGCAGAAAGCTGTGCTTCCTAATCCATTGGTACGTTATCGGCAATTGTCTGATAAAACCTGGTTAGATCCAATTCCCTTACTAACTTGGGGGCGAGGCTATGCTCTGTGCTTGCTCCTACAGGCCCTCTCTGGATTCCAGCCCAGTGTGTGCAACCAGCCAAAGATGTCATGGCATCAAGTCCAGAACCCAATACTGGAAATGAAGCAGGTGATTCTTCAGATAGCACAACGTCCCTTTTGCTCTCACCATCGCAGTTGACCAACAACCTGGGGCGATGTGAAGAACCTAACATCCAAAGTGCAGGAGATTCTGAGGCAACAGGGAAAAGAACCTACACCAGAGAATTTATGCGCTGCCACATTTGTGGTTTTGACTGCAAATTCCTTAGTCATTCTTTGCCTCTCTTTCCTTCTTAATTGCTGTGTGGGGGCTCAAGCTCTTCCATCTCATCCTTTAGAATCACGGATGAAATATAATATTTGGGTGCAATTAGCTAATGTAACACAAGTGACAGACTTTTGTATTTCTGAATCATATGACATGGAAAATCTACTCTCTACCTGTCTTATACCTGTGTATGTCCCAGCTTCAGTTTATTTGTTATTTCAATGTTTCTGATCAATCTGGCGTTATTCAAAAGCAAATTAATGTTTTACATAACTTGGCTTCTGATTTAAAAATTGATACCTTAGGAAATTGGTGGAGTGCTCTATGGTCATGGCTTCCCATTGGCCTTCTTGGAAAGATTGTTCAATATCTCATTATAATAGTTGCTATCCTTATCAGCTGTTGTTGTTTATTTCAATGTCTTTTTTCTTTACTTAATAAGATGTCTTGCAATCTTCCATACTAAGCTAAGACCCACTAACTACTCCTGCTTAAAATGTCTTCATTAATAAAATAAAGGAAAGTGAGTTGTGGAGGAATTTGCACACGCAGCAAACTGCCATGCTTCCCCCCCCCCCACAAACCTCATAACCTTTTGATACCCTTTGTCCCAAGGAAGCAGTCAAAAGATCACCCCCTCTTGATTTAATATCTTACCTACCTAAACAGATAATATGCTTAGTTCCTTCCCTTATCTCTTCCCATCTTTATCTCTTCCTGTCTTTCATCTACCTGTATTTGTCTTTACCTGATCTCTGACCGTGTAATATGTTACTAGAAAATAATTGCTTATATGAAGGAATTTTTCAATTACTTTATGTCAACAGCTAAAGGTTAAACTTCTAAATGTAAAATGTCAGCAGTTAATGGCAAAGTCTATGTATGTAAAAAGTATATAAGAAGGAATAAACTCAGAGTTTGTCAAGCTGTGTCCTGCAGCTTCAAACCTCTGCTCAAGACATGCCTGTGTCTTTTTCTTAGCATCCTACATATAGGTAGTCCTTGCTTAACAACCCTAATTTGTCCCAGAACGTCTGTCATTAAGCAAAGGGGTGATTAGGGAAAACTTCATGGGCCTGCACTGCTTAGGAATTGTTTTGGTAATCCTGGTTATAGTCATTAAGCAAGAACTGGTGCCATTTTTAGGCAAGAACTACATGCTTCTCCTGGCTTGCAGGAATTGCTGTCTCTGTCCTACTGCATTTTCCTCTGCCAGGCCCAATGAGCATCCTTCGGCAGACAGGCTCTTCCCTCCTACCACGCTTGCCTCCAACTCCCCCCCTTCATCCCCTCATCTCTGCCCTTTTGGCCACCTTGCACTCCTCTATCACCATCCACTATTTGCTTGCCACTCCCAGCTGCATCCAGCTGACCTTCGTCCCTGCTAAAGATGCTGCTGGCCTCTGTGACATGACACCTCAGGAGACCTAAAGGAAGGAGGGGGATGGGCAGTGAAGTGGGAAGCAGAAGGGCAGCAGAGAGGCAGGGGTGACAGAGTGCAAGGCAGCCAAAAGGACAGGAATGGGAGGGAGATTGATGGGTGACAAGAGTTGTATGCTGTGATCATAAATGCATTCTGCCAAGTGCCCAAATTTTGATCATGTGACGGTAGAGATGCTGCAATGGTTGTAACTGTGAGGACTGGTAATATAATTACCATTTATTCAATATTGTCATGACTCAGAACAGTTGCTGAACAAATGATCATTAAGTAAGGACTACAATAAGAGTTCAGTTGGAATAGTGATTAAAAAGTAACCAATCTTCACATTTATCACCTTGGCAAGTCTGTAAACCAATGGAAAATTGAAATAAGATTGTAAGCACAGTTGCAGTTTCATTTAGTGGCTGCTTCGATTAGCAACCATGTTTCCATTTCCAATTGCAGTAATAAATAACAATTATAGGTATCCCTTGACTTACAATCATTCACCTAGTGACCATTCAATGTTACAATGGCACTGAAAAAAGAGACTTATGACTAGTTTTCACACTTACTACCTTTATAGCATCCCCATGGTCATGTGATCAAAATTTGGGCATGTATATATGACAGTTGCAGTATCTCAGGTCATGTGATAACCATTCGTAACCTTCCATGCTGGTTTCTGACAAAATAATGAAGGAAGCCAGATTTCCTTAACAGCTGCATGGTTCACTTAACAACTGCTGTGATTCATTTAACAACTTTGTGGAAAAGATTGTAAAATTGGGTGCAACTCACTTAACAACTGTCTTGTTTTAGCAATGGAAATTTTGGGCTGAACTGTGGTCATAAGTTTATCTGTATATACATATGCATTTATATACACATCCTGTGTATATATAAATACCACTTTTCTACGTGTTCCATGACAAAAGTACTTAGACCATTCCACTAAATCTGCATCAAATGTATTTCATTGTTCTAGTTATTAAGGGGAAGAATCAGACATATAATGCAGGAAAAGAAAGCAACTGCTAGAGAAAAATATATACATATAATCTGAACCTATTTACAAAGTAGCAATTAAAGGCAGGAAGTATAGGAAAATAATGTAGGTAGTTAAGTTGACAGGAAAGTGAGAGGAAAGAGTAATAAAAAGAACCAGGAAAAATCTATAAAGATTTTTCAGTAGCAGAATTATTCAGGAAATCATAGCCCTAGTCTTAGAAGCTTAGCTGTGAAAAAGAGAAACCACAAAAACTCTTGTGGAATCTAGCAAAAAAAAAAAAAGAAGAAGAAGAAGAAGAACCCATTTAACTTCAACTGCACATAGTCACTTTATTCTTTTGAAAGTATTAGCCTAGGGCAGGGGTAGACAGCCTTGGCTCTTTTATGACTCGTGGATTTCAACTCCCAGAATTCCTGAGCCAGTTGAAGTCCACGAGTCATAAAAGAGCCAAGGTTGCCTACCCCTGGCCTAGGGAGTCATACGTCCACAATTCTGTAAAACCGGAAGCAGCTTACTCTTAATGGGGCAGAATCCCCATCTCTCATCTTTGCCATAATCCTGTGTGGTGGCACACCAGAGATGACCATCTCCACGTCCCATATTTGTACAGTCATGAAACCACAGATTATCGTACTTGAAGGGGATGGTGCAGGGCTTTCCATGAGAGTTGCCTTGAATAGTGTAAATTTCTGAAAAAGAGAAGAACACTATAACTCATATTTGTCCTCTGCTAGAAAAAGGAGATGTTTATAATTTTGAACAAAAGGTTTGGCAACCAACAGTTTGTGATCCAGTTTAAGATTCTATAATTCATTTATGGATAGCTATAATCAGCCTACGCTGTCTAATTTCAAATTAATCCAACACTTTTTTAATTGCTAGAAGATTGTTCCAATCCATACATGACACCCCCCCCCCACAATAGTCTCCCCACACACTCTCCAATAACATAATCTATAAATTCTGCATCAAGTGGAGAACAATACATTTAGAGAATTCAGGATTTATTGGTTGATTGAAAGAAAATTTGCTGAAAAAAATCAACTCAATCCCTGGTTGTGTTAGCAAACATACTACTTAATTAAGAAAAAAATATTTATTCCTGTCAAGAATGGTGATAGCTAAATACTGGAAAAGTAACTCCTATAATTCTGTTTATGATTTAGCAGTATCTGAACAATTAATAGTTCTCAGAAAGCTTCCCATGTTCATCTTTTCTGAAAACAATCTTTTAAGGAACTTCAAAAATTATCCAGTTTAATTACTGTTATATGTGATAAAAATTGGTTAGACTAAGATGCCACAAAACTATGTTTGTGTTAATAGGTGGATTATAGATCACAGTAGATTAATACAAATGCAATTATATGAGATTGATTCTTTGAAACATAGTTCTCTATATTCAAAGACAATGAAGGGCAATGAAGATTCTCCATATATTCTTTAGGAAAAAAATATACATATCTGTCTTATCAATTATAAGTTATAATTCCATACATATTACTAAAATGCTCTTATCCAAATTTGTTTTGCTTATTCATTTTTCATACTGCAAAATCAGTTTTAAAATTCTGCATTAGGATTGCCCAAATCCTAGACTGAGAGAAAGTAAATCCAAACTAAATAAATCTGCATTTATACATTTGTTTTGGAAAATATTTAGACTAGTGAATTTGCAATTTCTGGGTTCACTTTTTGGTGTCAGAGACTTCATGAAGTATTGTTAATCTTCTATTTATCTTAAGAGAAACTTTATTTTACTGTTCTAATACAAGCTATACATCTTGGCATTGTCAAATAACTAATTCTGTGCAACTGTAAAACTATAAATATGCACAAAGGTCTGCTGACAAAGTTTTGGATCCTGACTATATTACTCACAAGTCCCACCATTCAGATAAATTAGTAGCATTCAGATCATTTGAAATCAAATTATTCGTTGAATATTCTATTCTGAATATTCTATTTAGAACATTCTATTTAGACTGAATTTAGTATAATAGCTGAGCCTGGACTGAAATCAGAGCAGAAACCACTACTTCATCATACAGCTGTTTCTCATACAAGCTGAAGCTCATTTTTGAAAGGTAAGAGATATTCAGAATGAATGGTGGTTGATGGCTTTGGAATTCATCCATCCTTTGAAAAAATGGAAATCTAAATTGTAGTAAAAATCTTGAAATAGCAGATTGAATCTTTATATGTACTTTGGAAAACAGTAAAAATTTCTAATACTATTGTACAATTTATTTATTCAAGTTGATTTGGGGACAATAGATGAAACCTATGAAATGAATAGTAAGAATCTTAGTGTATCTATGGTACACTATCAAAATTAGAATATAACAAGGTAGCCAATATTTTTAAAGTATTATTTCAACAGATTTATAATATGATTGGTAGAATTTAGGAACAAACATTCTTAATTTAATTCAAATCTCTGTTGAAGAGAATAGTTGGAATTGATGATGAATTCTCCTTTCATTTCAGTTTGAAAAATGAATGAAAACAGGCAGGAGATTGTATTGTTTTGTATTTAGTTTTCTTAGGAAATCTATGATCAGAGAAATGGCAACTTTTCTATATTTGCTTTCTAAGGTTTTATAATGAACTATCAACAAATATTGCTCATAATTAGATAACTAAAGTGAATAGGACCAAAGCGGACTGAAAGCAACTTTCCTCATGTAAGAATTTACTATATAAACTAATAATATTTTGTTATAACAACCAATACAGATTACCTTTACTAAAAAAATTAAGTAGGAGATTATCATCTAAGTCAGATACTGGGGATTGGCTGCCTATATTGCTGAACTGCAATTCCCAATAACTCTAGCCTGCAGGGCTAAAATTAAGGGATTTTGGGAACATCCAGAAGCCCAGAAATTACCCTTTAATTGCTATAGCAATGATCTGATAATGCTTGGGCAATCAAAGTTTAATGCTGCCTATCACCATCTTGCTCTACTTTCAAGATGCAAAGGCAGCTAGCTGGTTGCCTATTGGAAGAAAAATGCTAAATTACATAACTTGAACTCATAAGATGTACTACTATTAGTCGTAATCATGAGAGTCATTGATATCTGTTAATATTTTTGCTAATAATTTTAATAAAAAGATCTAAAAATATTAAATTTGGATAGTGCAGAATAAAATTTTAATTATGAGATTTGCAATGATAAGAGACAACATCATTAATTTTCAGTCTTCTAATGTGGGTTTTACCAGAGTATGGCCTGGAGCACAAATCTTCATCCTGGCCATAGATCTTCCATTGGCCTCCATGAGCCTGGTCACCTCTCTCAGCTGGTGTCAATGACCAGTTCCCCAACCTCGAGCTCAAATACTGGGAAAGCTGGTCCCCTAGACTCCGACAATTCCACCGCATGTTAACGGATTCACGGTCACATTCATAAGTGGCCAATGCATGGGTGGTGGCACTGCTGTTTGCAGATTTCCAAGAGACTCCCAAGCACTGCATGTTTCCGATGTTGAAAAGCCGATTCCTGGAAACCCATTTCCACTTCTGAGCATGAAGACTTGCATTACAGATCTTAGAAATTTTCACCAAAGAGTCCTTTGTTTCCAAGCAGCTCTGCAGACCACTGTTATAGATGAGAAATATCCCAGAATCTGAGAAAATACAAATAAACAACAACAAATATTACTTTAGCTACTGAAGGTTCTCTCTCAAAAGCTCTGCATGTTGGAGATTCAACAAGCAAATAGCAAGAACTATTTAATGAAAGCTGGGATATATCATGGTTGATGTATTTACAAATAGCCCGAAAGATAAACTCAGATCTCAAAAAGGAAACAGGGATATTAAGGAAAAAATGTGAAATTCATACAAAATCAGCAGTATCAGTTAGGATACTTATATATAAACATTTACCTAATATGACAGAGAAACAGAACACAAACAAAATATGTGTGGGAAAATGGATGAAAATTTTCAAAGAAGCAGATACCATAGAACAATGGAAAGAATTATGGAATAATCTATAAAACTCACATCAAACCATAATTTCAAAGAAAATTCACACACACATACACAGATTGGTCAGAGTTTCAACCAAAAACCATGCAGTTCATCTTCACCTAGTATTGATCACTTCTTTATCTTTCTTGCTCTTTTCTCCAGCATTTCTGCTGATATTACAAGTTCCTTCATTTCAGCATTTTTTCCTTCACCTCCTCCTTTATTCAAGCTACATTCTCGTATTTCTTTGGGTTGCCTATCTATCTGCTGATTTATAATTTCCAATGTTTCATTGATCTTCCTTGTCTGTAGGGCTGTTTCCAAAGGAGGCAGAGGAGGAGAGGTCCCGGGTCGTATGGAATGAAGGAACTGGATGAGGCTGTCGGCAGGCCCAGAGGAAGAGAGGCTCTTGGAGGAGTTGATAGCGGCGGCAGCATGCTCCAGGGGCGAAAAGAAGCAAGGCCTCTTTTAGGGAAAGGTGGAAGAGTCAGGATCAGAAAAAAGAAAGGAGGCGAGGTTGTCATGCAGGAATACAAGCTAATTTGAGGGCTAATCCACATGGAGCTCCATTTCCATCTGTCCTATTTGCCGTTGTTCACTTCTTAGAGACTAAAATGGACGATCTAAACTTGAGCTGGCCATGAACAAGGAGTGTATATCAGAGGTAGTGACCCTTTGAGAGCTGTATATAACGAATTTCATTTTGATGTATGCCGATTGGTGTACATTCAAAATGACAATAAAATTATTATTATTATTGATCATCGCACAGTCAGCCAGATGTTCAGACTGAATTTGGCATTCTGTCTACCTATCGAGTCCTTACCCAGGACCTGGGATAGGCAGATGTGGATGTTTGATGTATTACAGATATCGTCGCAGGATGGAAGCAGTTCCTAGTAAGGCCAGTTCCATTGGCATTGACTAATAGCGAATTTGTCAATGCCAATGGTGTTCAAGTGGTGCTCCAGTTGTTTTGGGATTGCTCCCAAGGCGCCTATGACTATTGGTACTACCCTTGCTTGCTTTTGCCACAGTCTTTCTATTTCTATTTGTAGGTCTTTGTATTTTGTTATCTTCTCCAGTTCTTTCTCTTCTATTCTGCTGTCTTCAGGCACTGCCACATCCACTATCCAGACTTTTTTGTCTTATCAACAATTGTTAAGTCTGGGGTGTTATGTTGCAGGTGCTTGTCTGTTTGAATTCTGAAGTCCCAGAGCAGTTTAATTTTATCTTTTTCTATGACTTTCTCTATTTTATGATACCACCAGTTTTTGCTTACAGGCAAATGATATTTTTTGCAGATCTTCCAATGCACCATTGTTGCTACTTTGTCATGCCGCTGCTTGTAATCAGTCTGTGCAATCTTATTGCAACAGCTTACCAAGTGGTCCACTGTTTCTTCAGCTTCTTTGCATAGGCGGCACATACTGTCTGTTGCTGTCTTCTCAATTTTGACTTTGTATGCATTTGTCCTTAAGGCTTGGTCTTGTGCAGCCAGAATTAGTCCCTCGGTCTCTTTCTTTAATTTTCCTGCTCTTAGCCATTGCCAGGTTTTATTATTATCTGCTTTCCCAGCTATTTTTTTCATGTATTGGCCATGTAGTGCTTGTCTTCCCATGCCTCTATTCTGTTCTTCATTTGGTCTTTCTTGTAGGCCAGTTTGGTCTCTCCAGTAGTCAGTAAGCCTTCCTGATATACTAATTTCAGTGCATCTTCATCATTGTTCTTCAGATATTCTTCCAAAGCCATTTTTTCTTCTTCAACCAGCTGATGTACTTGTAGCATTCCACGCCCACCTATTTGCCTTGGTAGATAAAGTCTATCAATGTCACTGCGTGGATGAAGGGCATGATTCATTGTCATTATTTTTCTGGTCTGCCTATCCATTGCTTTTAGTTCTACTTGAGTCCAATCCACTATTCCAGCTGTGTTCTAATGACTAGGATTGCCCAGGTGTTGATTGCCTTTATGGTATTTCCTCCATTGAGTTTGGACTTTAAGATCTTCTTTACTCTCTTGATGTATTCACCTCTAATCTTTTTCTTGACTTCAGTGTGCTTGATGTTGTCAGCTTGAAGGATACCCAAGTATTTGTAGTAATCTTCCTCATCCAGACTCTTAATGTTATTTTCGTGGGGCATCTTGATTCCTTCAGTTTTCACTACCTTTCCTTGTTTGATGTAAGTGTGGCACATTTGTTCAAGCCAAACTCCATAACAATATCTTGGCTATATATATGGGCAGTGTTGAGCAGCGATTCTATTTCAGATGATGTTTTTCCATACAGCTTCAGATCATCCATGTAAAGGAGATGGGATAGTCTGGCAGATGTTTTTGATGTTTGATAGCCATGTCCTGAGTTATTCAGTATTGTTGACAAAGGAAACAGTGCAATAACAAATAGTAATGGTGACAATGAATCTCCTTGAAATATTCCTCTCTTGATATTAACCTCTCCCAGTCTCTCACCATTGATCTGCAACTGTCTTCCATTGTCCCATCGATCTTTGCACAAATTTTCTGATGTTTCTACTGACTCCTGTTGATTATCCAGTCATGTGGCAGAGAGTCAAATGCCTTTTTGTAGTCAATCCATGCCACATTCAGGTTGGTCTTCCATTACTATTATTATTATTATTATTATTATTATTATTATTATTATTATTATTACTACTACTACTATTACTATTATTGATCATCGCATAGTCAGCCAAATGTTCAGATTGGATTTGGCATTTTGTCTACCTATCGAGTCCTTACCAAGGACCTGGGATAGGCAGATGTGGATGTTTGACGTTATTACAGATATCGTCGCAGGATGGAAGTGGTTCCTAGTAAGGCTGCCATTTGCAATTGACTAATGGCGAATTTGTCAATGCCAGTGGTGTTCAAGTCATACTCCATATGTTTTGGGATTGCACCCAAGGCGCCTATTACTATTGGTATTACCCTTGCTTGCTTTTGCCACAGTCTTTCTATTTTTATTTGTAGGTCTTTGTATTTTGTTATCTTCTCCAGTTCTTTCTCGTCTATTCTGCTGTCTCCAGGAACTGCCACATCCACTATCCAGACTTTTTTGTCTTTCTTATTGACAATTGTTAAGTCCGGGATGGTATGTTACAGGTGCTTGTCTGTTTGAATTCTGAAGTCCCAGAGCAGTTTAACTTTATCATTTTCTATGACTTTCTCTATTTTATGATCCCACCAGTTCTTGCTTACGGGCAAATGATATTTCTTGCAGATCTTCCAATGCACCATTGTTGCTACTTTGTCATGCTGCTGCTTGTAATCAGTCTGTGCGATCTTCTTGCAGCAGCTTATCAGGTGGTCCACTGTGTGCTGTTGTTGTTGTTATTATTATTATTGATCATTGCACAGTCAGCCAGATGTTCAGACTGGATTTGGCATTTTGTCTACCTATCGAGTCCTTAACAAGGACCTGGGATAGGCAGATGTGGATGTTTGATGGTATATTACAGATATCATTGCAGGATGGAAGCAGTTCCTAGTAAGGCCGCCTTTTGCAATTGACTAATAGAGAATTTGTCAATGCCAATGGTGTTCAAGTGGTGCTCCAGTTGTTTTGGGATTGCACCCAAGGCGCCTATGACTATTGGTACTACCCTTGCTTGCTTTTGCCACAATCTTTCTATTTCTATTTGTAGGTCTTTGTATTTTGTTATCTTCTCCAGTTCTTTCTCGTCTATTCTGTCTCCAGGCACTGCCATGTCCATTATCCAAACTTTTTTGTGTTTTTTATTGACAATTGTTAAGTCTGGTTGTTGTTGTTCTTGTTGTTATTATTATTATTATTACCCAGTGGAACAACCTGCCTCCAGAAGCGGTGAATGCTCCAACACTGGAAGTTTTTAAGAAGAGACTGGACAGCCATTTGTCCAAAATGGTATAGGGTTTCCTGCCTGAGCAGGGGGTTGGATTAGATGATCTCCAAGGTCCCTTCCAACTTTTTATTATTATTATTATTATTATTATTATTATTATTATTATGGATTGGGCATTCTATGGTGTTCTTGTTCTTCAGCTTTTCATTTGTTGTAACTTGCTTGCATCTGATCTCAGAGTGCTGATCTTATTTTCTAACCTGACTTCCATTTTGGATTTTTTTTTCTTGTTTGTTGATTTTGCATCCAAGAGCTTCAGTTGTAACTGCTGCTGTGCAGTTAGTTTGTTAGTTTTCTCAGTTAGTTTTTTGAAGTGGTGCTTATATTTCATACTATAGTACTGGCATCTTTTAATATCTGTGCTAGCTATGGTTTTTTTATAACATGATTCAATGCAGGCAACCTTATTCTGTTGTTTTTGTGTGGTTCTAGATGCTCAATAATTTTTCATTTCAATGCCTCTTGTTTTTTAGTTACAGGAATTTGTTCTTTCTGAACTGAAAATATAGGCAAACCTATGGCACGGGTGCCAGAGGCAGCACTCAGAGCCCTCTCTGTGGGCACACACACCATCGCCCCAGTCCTAGGCCTTCAGCTGGGTTTTATAAAACCTTTTCATTTAAGGCCTCCGCCACCATGTGCAAAAAAAAAAAAAAAAGGTTCAATCAGTCAATTTCAACTTCTCACGGGAAAAAAAAGATCTTGCAAAGTTGGAATTGATTGATTGAACTTTTTAGTCCCACCCA